ATGATCGAAATAAGAAAGAGAATGATGTTCTCTATTAAATTAGGATCCCAGAACGTCGTGTCGACATGATATATGTCTACATACTCATTACTGCATGAGATAAAATGTATAAGAAGAATTGTTGGTTCCAACTGACCAGGCGATGTTCCTCATTAGCTTGACCTCAAAGAACATCTTGACAGCGTCGGTGAAATGTTTCGATCTAACACTAGACGATAGGTCTGGCCACTTACGCCTTCATGTAACTGTGTCGGCATGAATTCTAAAGCTTTGATCATCGGTCTAGAAAGGCTCCAACGCTTCCTTGAGGAAAAAGAAAAAACATTTTTTTTGTCCAGCTCACCTACACTTGCAAAATTAAGTTGATCGTGGAGGAGGGAAAGACATTAGATTTGTGTTCCTAAACTCAGCACGATCTAATCACCCATAAACCTGGCTATTAAAGGCTTTGCTGAACACGGAGAAGGAAAAATAGTGACGTCAAAGAGATCAGTACTGAGCAAAGCAGCTGCTGATCGTGAATCGAGCGTTTTGATTTATGTCATTTGAATTGAATCTGGGACGTTGAACGTTTTTTAAAAGGCGGCGACGGCAATTGCAATTTTTAGTACAATTAACGACATTCTCAGTGAGCGAGCTTAACCATCGGAATCTAAACCTTGTAGAAGGTGAACTTTTAGATATAAACCAATTGTTTAACCCGACACTCTATTCATTATCCTTAAACTGATTTTTTTTGTGTTAGTTGTTTAGTAGCCTCAGAAGCCTCTTCAACCTCTGAAGCTACCCGTCTTGAAAAAATTGATTCACAAGACTCTCTCCAAGAGTGAATGGATCGAGTGATGTTCAAGTATAATTGCACTCATGGTAACTATGCAAGTAATCATCTTCCTGCGTGTACTAGTAGGCAAATTTTAACAGCAAATCACATAATTCATATATAACTGTAACTTTATGTGTTGTATTCCAGTGTATCGTGATGCGGTGAGCTGAGTTGTAGATAAATATATATAGATATATATATATATATTTTTTTTTTGTAGCATTTTACTCTCTTTAATTCCATAAACTGCTGGCATAAATTTATTAAAGGTTAATTTTAAAAGGCAAATTAGAAAAATTGGAAGTGGAATCTTAGAATAATAGTTTCGTCCAGAATGCTTTTTGTCGGGTGAACAATGAGAAGTCACACAGGTAAGTAGACTATGATAGCCTAGTTATTGTCATAGCATTTGACAGAATCTGTAATTTCATTGCATCATGCATTTCCGTGTGTATGCCAGCCATGAGATAAAATCTCTATCATTCGCAAACCTTTTTTTTAAATGCCATCTTTAATCTTTTGGCATTTATTGTTGATACAGAATGCCAAGATGTTTTTCCGCCATATAGTTGTTCGCGCATGCTGGGTAAGAAAGCTCGTGCGAACTGATGTATGGTCACGTGATAGACCAAATGTTTTCGGTCTGATTGCTTACTATCATTAATATGTATGGGGCTTCGTTGTGTGATCACTGCGAACCCAGTTTATCTTCTGCTCTACTAGCCGAGATGAAAGCATACAAAGTGAAAAACTTAGTTTTCAAGTGATTTTTGTATTGTAGTTCCTCAATTTTTATGACAAAAGTTTTTTTCTTTTTTGTCTTTTTTTTTTTTTGACACTGAGTTTTTTTTTCACCGAAAGGCTATGTATTCCAAATTCATTTTTCGGAGTTTTAGCGGAAAGGAATCGTTTGTTCTTCTTTAAAAATTTAATCTTGATTTAAATCATCCTAGTAATAATTTCGAAATAACAGTATAGGTAACGTCTTTTAACTTTGTCTAATAATTCAAAGGTATTCATCTGTTCTAGATGAATTTATGAAACTCATTTAAAGTGAAACATTGAATGCAAGACGGTGATGTTTCAACCAATTTCGTGAAGTTTCGTCCAAATAAATATGGCCATTTAATAACTAGTTCATTTTGTAAAATCTACCTCAGTCAGAAATTAGATGTCATGTTTTACTAAAGAAAAAAAAAGGTTCAGTTCTTGGATGGGGGGTAATTTATTTTCCGCACTGTATTTTGATTGAAAAACTCAAGGTTGGGAGAGACCACGCAAAGAAACATTTTATGTCAAATCTGATACTAAAGATTAATCGAAGCTCCGGGGTGCCAAAGTCACAATAATGTTTTGGTAACAGCTTCCATTATAGGGAAGAACAGTAAATTATAGTGGTATTGTCTTTTGCGTTTGGCGTTCAATAGTTTGTTTACATAAAAAAGGATTAGAAAAGAGAGTGCCTCTCACCTGCTCTGAAAGTAAATTAAGACAATCGTGCAAACACGAAATGTTGAATAATTATCAAATTGGACAAAGAAAGGTCAATAAGGAGACATTTCCTTTGCAAACAGCACACGAGACATTAGATTGACTTCCCGATGTTCAGCATTATTAGCTGATGAATAATTTTCAGCTTTAGTTACGGTTGGCTTTGTTAAGATCTGGATTAATACAGAATTCTTCCCTGAGGAAAAGTGAGTATGTTTTTACAGGTTTATGGTCGATTACAGCATCAATTATGCGCGTCTTCTCGTTCTTTTGTTTCGTTTGCGACAATCTTTGTTATCTTATAATCTTTTTTTCTAATAATATGGCTTGTAATACCTGTATTTCTCTAATTCGCGTAAAATATCATTATTGTCACTTATGTTGGAGATATAAGGAGACGTTGTGTTTTAGAAAAAAAGCCTAACATTTGTTACAAGCAGAGAGCGTGAAAAAAAAAAGATTAGCTAGATAAAAAAATCTGAGCTTATTTCCCAAGAGGAATCCGAACCAGAAGTGTAACGATTTTCTTGGTGGACGCTTTGCCATCAAACTACAGATAATTGTCGGTTGACTGCTTTGGCTAGAAATTTTGCACACATTTGTAAAATGTCGTGAGGAGTCTAATTTTTGATACCAACAGAGCTAATCCAATAAGGCGGATATTGAATTTTTTACTTTGTTCATCACTGCCTATGGAGTCGATGTCCAAAATATAGCCTTGGAACTTGAGCACAAACGTTGTTGAGAGGTGGACGGCAGTCTGAAGTCAAAGGTTCTCATTTCTTGCGCTCATAACAGCATTTTGGTACACACAGTTTTGTTTAAATTGCAAATAACGAGACGATCGAAGACCTTAAGGTCGGCACATTGGCGTTCAAGCGTGCCAGGATTAGTTTTCATTTTCTTCCGATTATTGTCCACGTCTTGAAAACGCCTCTACTTAAGTTCTCTACTTTCTGATGTGAAAAAAAAAAACAACAACAAAACAACAAAAAGAAAACAATCATCACCAACAACAACAACAACTAAGATTTGATGAATAATTTTATTTTGTCAACAAGCAGGAGCCTGTGAAAATTTTCGGACAACTATAAGTTACTCCTTACATAAGTTACTCCCAAAATTTAAGATTTGAAAACATGCCCGAATAATTTGAAAAATGTATTTTCCTAAGAAAGGTTAATAAACTGTACAGGTGTTATGATCTTTTCGCGGCAAATAGCTTGACCGGGAGATTATACTTCAACTTGAGCGCTTTATTTTTCGAAAGTAAATGAGTCAATAACTCATCTTTGAAGATGAGCAACGGAGAAAAAAAACACCTTGGCCAAAAATAAAAACAAATCAAGGAATAAAAAAGAGCAAAACTTGGAAGTGGTCTGGTTTAACAAAGAAAATAGTGGGACAAAGATAAAAAGTTAACCGTAAATAAAATTTTTGGTGGCAACAATGGAAATGATATCAACCGTTAGCCGTAAAATGCCCAAAATTTTTAACCGTTAGCCTTAGAAGCCAAAACCCCATTAAGACCCTCTTAACTAACCAATGAGAAGTAAAGAATATTAGAATTTATATTTTAATGAGATCATTTCTTCTTGGCGGCCTCGGTAGCTTGTTTGCAAATTTTTCAAAACTCGGACCTGACAGATCTATTGATAAAAAGAAAATCTCTCAGGAATACAGGAAAATGCGGACAACCTTTTAACATTGATCTCTGGAATTGACACCATGTAGTTATATTTCGTCAGAGATGACGTTTGAGGAATACGACGGAATGGCGGCCGGCATCCTTCGCTTCAGAAAAGGAAACATCAAAATATATAAAAACTTACTCTTATAATTTACTCACTTATAATTTTGAATGATTTATAGTCTGTGGTACTTTTCTCGAAAAGGCCCGTTCACAATGTTTTAGATTTTTTTTTTGAGATGGCAATCGTAAAACTTGAGAATAACCTTACGTAACAGTTATTTCGTTCTGCGCAATCATGACTTTTTTCGTAGTTAAGACCCCCCTCGAAATTTTAACGTTTTTTCTGTATGAACAATGTTTGCTTTGACCCTGAGAATGCCAAACATACGCAACAAACGCAATTTAACGTGCTTAAATAGCTTAATTTCAATTGGGTAGGAATGTTTAACAAAAGTTAAAAGTTAAATGTCGGTTATTCTTTGTCTTTTATGAAGAAACATTATTTCTGTCTTAAAAGAGACAAATTATGTCACGTGACATGTTTGGTTCATTATCTCTTTAACTGTAAATCCCCGTCAATCATTCCGGCCAGAATCACAAAGGGGCCAACAATCGAATTTCAGCAACGTTGTTATTGATATTCATTACAGGCCATTTCGACACCCAATTTTGAATTTCCTTTTTATCCAATCAAAGCAAGATGAATAGTCACGAGACCAAAGTTTTAATCACTTACAGCAAATATTAAGCTAAGGTTATTACTTTTGATATTGTTGCCAAGTCTGAAAAGTTATTATTGTTTTGAGATTTTATGCTAATTAAGCTTCAAGCCATGCCTTAACATGCTTTAGTGGAACAATTTCTGTTAGACGAAGTGGATATTTACAAGAGAGCATCGCATTTTCTCTCGATGTCTCCCATTTTATAGTCAACATATCCGCTATTATTATTATTATAATTTTTTGATCACGTCTCAGATCTTTCTAGGTACAAATGCCACGAAAGAATATTGTCTTCATGGTTGTGCTGGTTTCGCTGACTAGTGTACTTCAAAACCATGCAAGCCAACGGTGCAGAATAGATTCATATTCAATTTATCAAATGATGTTGAAGGGCCACACTTTTAAGACGTTTAAGGCCCGAGCAGGTTCGCTCGACTGTAGACATGCCTGCCTCGCTGACATAAGATGTCAAAGCTACAACGTGGTGATGTTTGAAAACCTATGCGAGTTAAATAACAGAAGCAAAGAGGCTAGGCCAGAGGACTTTATCAAGAGCGAGAACAGATATCACTTTGGCAAAGTTTCTGAAAGAGGTATCGAAAAGAAAAGCATAATGTTTTCTTTAATAGGTGCACATTTTGGAAACTGCTGCAGAATACTAGCAGACAATTCCAAAACGCACACTAAATGTATTGATCCTCTTCCTTATTGTATATGATAATCATCACTTTTTTTCCCATAAAATAAACCAAGTATAATTAATTTATCCCAGTTCCCCTGGCTTCCATTCCTGAGCTGCCAGCCTATTCATGCAAAGAGATCAAGGCCAGTGAACAAGAACAAGCGGTCAGCGGAAATTACTGGTTGGATCCCATGCGATCTGGAAATTCCATTTTAGCTTATTGTGATATGGCAACTGAAAGTAAGGAGAAGTATATTTATAAAAACTCACTTAGACAAGACTGGCATAGTTCATAATTCTAAAATTGATGTTATTTATGAAAATTGCGTGTTCCTGATTATCTGAAAACGTGTAAAGTTATAACACGGGTGCGAGTTGTAACAAATAGTGTGCACGTGCTGTCAAAATTTCGTCTGCCTTGACTTTCTGTAATGCTTTTTTCATGTGAATTATTAACAAGTAACGGCATGTTGCTTGTGCAATTTGGTGTAAATAAGCTCTTGTAAATTTTTCGAAGACAATAAACTGCACTCGCCCAACGGACTTGCGCCATTTTGTTGTCGTTGAAAAATGTATTCGTGCTTATTAAAACCAAATTGCACTCATCATGCTTTTACCTATGATAGGTGCATTCCGGTTCTAGAGTACATATGAGACTAAGGATCAGAAGGGAAAGACATATTGATTATCACCTACTTATTTACTATTGGTCAATTAGACGGTGGTTACAGCTTAAGTCTCTTTGAATAAATTGTTGGTTGGAAGCTTTAGAGACTCTTGCAGTTCTCTCCCATCGACGTGCGGAGGAAGGTGCATAGAGTAAAAAGAAAGGAATAACTCACGGTGTGCTTAGGGCCGATGAGAATATGTTTTTCCCTTCGCAAGAAAAGCTCTCCATTTTTGTTTAATAGGGTTGAAAAGCTCGGAGAAAACGTCTCTTAAAACCAAACAGGTCGAGAAATTCATGACATGGTTGTTAAATCACTATTAGAGAAATGTCTTTTTTTATTTAGTTGCTGATTACTGCGTCAAGCATCAATGTGCAGAACACGCCATGTGCGTTAATGGGGACATGAAATACACGTGTGCGTGTAATTCGTCGGGATGGACTGGAAGCCTATGCAAAACAGGTGATATGTCAACCTTTTTTTATGTAGCACCTTTTTCTGTGTCTTCATTGATAAAGTAAGAAAGGTTGGGAATACGTTTGAAATGAAGTGCCACGATTCAGTCACTTCCGATATGGATCGCGAGGCTTAGATTGCATACCGCGAGTCTTAGATTGCATACCGCGAGTCTTTTTCAACCGCCAACAGATAAGTTGTTTTTCCTCTGTTACATGCGTTTTGAGATATCACTCAATAACGGTTGAGTTGACTTTTCGTTTGTTTCTTTGCTTTTGTTTTGTTTTGTTTTTTTAGTTGTTTTAAGATGTAAAATTCATTTCCCTGAGACATCAGGTACAATCGTTAGGGCTGTTCTTCAGTCCATTTTTTGTCTTAATTTTTTTTAAAATCATAATCATTTCAATTTGCCCTAATGTGATTGGTGCATTATCTACTTTATTTTTCACTAATCATTCTGTACAATTGTAATCGGACAGTTGACTGTAATCGGATAGTTGAAGCAGCCCATCATACTAAGTCGACTTAGCTAAATCTACCAATCACAGAATTGATCACAAGAACCATAGCAACAACCACCTCTCCTGACCGCTTTGTATTATTATAGACCGAATTGGACTTCACACAGTCCTATTACCATTATTAATCACATAATTTCGAGGGCGGTTTTCAAAAAATATGCAGACGTTTTTCTTCTTCAGAGAACAAAAAAAATTACACGAGCTTGTTTATGAAGGGCGAGTACACTATGTAGTCTTTGAGAAAACTTGCAGGTGTCTTTTTTTTTTCAAATTGGACGAGAAAAATCATGTGATTATCTACTGTTGATATACGTGTAAAAATTTCAATATAGGTTTTCATATTATAAATAAACTTCCGAACACCGTGAAGATCAAAATACATCTATACCATGGAAGTTTCAGTGAGCGTTCAGTCAAAACAACCCCATTCAATCAACACAGTAATTGTTATTTTTATTATTATTATTAGTAGTAGTAGTAGTAATAGTAGTAGTAGTAGTAGTAGCAGCAGTAGTAGTAGTAGTAGTAGCAGCAGAAGTAATAGTAGTAGCAGCAGTAGTAATAGTAGTAGCAGCAGTAGAAGTACAACTATTATTTTTTAGAGTTTTATAAGTCTCATAAAGGGGCAAAAGTACCCCTTTTCCTCTCTGTAGTTCTAACTGATCACCTGTATCAACTGTATCACTAACCAATCAGATTAAATAATAGCGGAGCTCGCAGCGTGCAAAGCGTAGCCCCATAGTTATAGGAAAAAAAGTAGCTCATCAAGCCGAAAAAATTACGACCGTACGACCGACAATAAAAGGTGCTACTTTTAGCACGCGGGGTCAACTGCATTGCGGGCACTATTTAGCCATTACGTAATGGAGGGGTGAGGGAGAAGGTAATGCGCAGGCGCGATTGCGTAACTTGGATGCAGATGACAATAAACTGCGCATACTCAAGCGCCTAGCTTTAGTGCAGCGTACCGCATGCACACGGTTAGGGATTACACGTGGGCTTCACGTGGGCTAGTTGATGTGAAGCCGCCCATGCAAATAGTTTGCAACCCGAGTTTTGTGCGGGAAATTATACCGGTTTAGGTTATAGTGGAACAGTAATTCTCAGTATTCGAAATTTCTTATCAATTTGCAAAGCAACAATATTGGCAGAGCTAAAGCTTTATCAACTGCAAGACATTCTTATAATTCAAGTTCGTGGAGGAAGTGAAAGTAAGCTGGAAAGGAAGAGACAAAGCGACCAAAGAAAACAAGAAGTAAAAAGCGTAGAGTGAGTCGGGAAAACGCGGATTAGAAAGGACGCTAAAATAGGCAAAATACAGATAGAGGAACGCGAAACAGAACAAGAAAAGGCGTGAGTAAAAAGGCGAATATCTAGAGAAGAACAACGTCTGAAGGAAATATAAGGAGCTCTAGAAAACAGACTGGAAAGAAGTCATCAACAAGAAGAAAGTGAACTCAAGGGATCCGAGAAAGAAGAGGAGGTAAGTTGAGTCTTATCTCCGTCTTCTCTTCCGCTAAGGTCCAGAAAAATTCAATCGTTTTTTTTACCAATCGTCGTTTGATACTAGCTTCAGTTCACAATTCAAATCACGCTTCGGTTAAAATTTTGGCATTCAACGCTTTAAAACCTTCGCGCCGGTTCATCGCTTGAATATCATTTCAAAGTGTTCGTGTTTTTTAAGTTATTTCTTGTCCTATCGCTTGGAAAGTTTAATACAGTCATGGTAGTTAGGGAAAAGAAGTTATCTTGCTAATTATTTTTTGCCTAAAAAGTTTTCTAATGATGGCAAACGACGTGAGCAAGTCTCTATCACTCTCTCTTCAGTTAACAATCGCATAGTTTACTTTATTCATTTTAAAAAATCGCACTTGTCCAAGATGTTTTGTTTTACCCTAAGAATGAAGAAATGGCCTTCCCGACAATTGAATAAGATGAGCTTGAGTCAGCGATGTTCATGTTTACACTAAGTTTCACGCGGTAATTTAATTTCATTATACTTTAATGCTCGACATGCCCCGTCATTGTAAAGATGTCTTTAAAAACATATTTTGGTAAGGCTGCAGTTCTTTGTTGATAAATATACCTTGGCTTGCAGTTCTGATGATAACAGCTTGCTGCAGTAATTGAAATGTCAGTCCCATGCAGGAACCTTCCACATGATCTACACAGTCACATACTATGAGATAACTGAAAAAAGTGCATTTGTGTTGGTCGAACTATTGTTAGTACAGTACCACCTAGTGACAAAAACTAATGATTTCCTGTGAGTACGAATGTTTAGGAGAAGTTATGGTGGTAATTGACCCTATGTTTGGTAGGATGCATATGGTTTGATGATTGTAATGTATATCTTTAAGCTTTCAAACTTTCTACTTTGTGTTATTTTTTACTGTTTAACATATCTTTTTCCCTGTGCCTTAAGCCCTCAAAAGTTGAAGCAAGTGAGTCTACAACCTGACTTCCTTTGTTTGAAATTTTGTGTTTATGTAATTTTGCTTTATAAGTTATATCATTGTGACATGTAATATCATTTAATTGCACTAAATACTCTTGCTCAAGCTTTCAAAAGTGAATGTGGTTTCTCACCAATGATTATATCCAATATATACAATCACATACTATGTGCATGAGCAAAGTTCTCTTTTTAAAGCACTGTCTTAAGTTTAAAACTAACGGCAGACCTTGGGTTGTGGTTTGCTACAAATTCTCGGTCATTATTTTCTTGTAAAACAGTGATTTTTCCCATTATCAGTACAAACCTGGTCTAATGTGTACGCGAAGGTTATTGTTCCGGGTAGGCTTACCTTATGAATTAGATGCGAAAATTTCTTGATCCTGCCGTCGCATGAAAGCTTGACTCAATTTTACCTAAAAAACCTAAACTGAATGAATAGAAACTTAAAATTTCTTTGTTTTACTTTTGAGGTGTGCATCAAAATTTTGAACTGCAGTTTTAAAGGAAATCTCTATGCGCGCGTGTTTTCAACATTAAAAAAAAAAACAGGATTGTGACTAATTCGAATGACTTTATTACGTGCCGTACAGGTACTGGCAGGTGTCATGAAAAAAGTTGCTTAGCTTTTTCAACGCTATACATTTCATTTCCTATTTTTCAACCAAATTTTACATTCTTCTTTTCACTAATATTTTATTATGTGTAGGGATTGGTCATGGCTCTAAAAGTATAGTCAAATTAAAGTTTTGCGCACAGCATATGCATCAAATTTATATAATAAAATATTGTATCCTTCTTAAATCTAGTTTATCAGAATAAGAATGAGTTATCGGGCACAAGTATGGCTTTTCACGAGGATAGGTTTCAGGTTCAAGATTCAAAGTCAGATTCCCTTTGAATATTTTCCCTAAAACTGCTAGCCTGCTAAAATCCTAAGTTCCTCGTCAAAACATTGGCAAGAGGAGCGATTAGCAAATTAATGACACAAACAAGCTAGCCTATTCCCTCATACGGCCTCGTCAATCCTGTTAGCTTATTCTGGACATAGCATTTCCGACATGGTGTAATTGCCACACATTGTCCATTTCCCTTATTAATTATTTGTGATGGTGTTTACAAGTTGTGGAAAATGGTTGGGTTGAATTGTAATACAAAGACTTGCCTGTAGATAAGATGAAAACTTTTGCATATCAATAAAATGTATTTTTGTGTTTCATGTTAACATTAATTATTTGCAAACATAAGAGAATACCATCTAAAACTTTTGAACCTCTGCAATATAGCCAATAACAGCATCCACTCGACTTTTAAACTACAGCGAAAACTTGACTGAAGTTTGTAATTGATTTCTCTAATGTACAAATGCAATCCAGGTTTTATCTTTACCAATATCCTTATGATCGAATCCTAAGTCTCTCTTCGCCACCAAGTTTAATGATGATATTCTAATTCTAGCTTGTCTTGCTTTAAATCAAACTTTCGCAGCGCAAAAAACATGTTAGACAAATTTCGTATTTCAATACCTTGAGTTGATATGATTACGGACAATGGATAAAGGGGGTAAGTTTCTAAAGAAACTGTGGTGCTGCCTCGGTGGGAAAGTATACGCAGAGCGATGGACGGAGGGCTAACGCTCGAAACGTCAGTCTTTTAACTCTTTACGGTGGCCAATTTACGTTTTCAACTCAGTTGATCACGTTAAATTACCCTAAGATTGTGGACAGTTAGCCTAAAGACACTTACATTATATGCAGTTACAGCAGAGATTACTGAATTATATAAAAGAAAAATCTCTGAAAAAAGACGCCGTGTATTTCTAGCCAGAGAACAATCATTAACGAGAATAGCCAATAGAGAAAAAGTAAAAACAAACAAAAAAGGCAATAGTTTAAACAAGTGTTGAATTCTACTTTTCTACGCTTGCCAGAGAAAGTTGAAACGTTAGGGAAAAACCGTTGAACAAGCAGTCATACTTGGCAACTTCAAGAGAAGATATAAGAGAACTCCATGCGATTCTGGCGTATTGTTTTACTGACGCACTGTT